TTTCGTTCTTTTTCACCAAAATCTTCTCTGCCATATTTAATGCGTGTTAAATAGTGACATAACATGCGGTATTTTTCACACAAACTGATATCCATGCTTTATTTATAAAATTTAGTAGAAAATTACTATCTATAGAGCCAAGTTATTCGGAAGTAAACAAGTTGTCCGAATAATTTAGCCTGAACGATTCTAATCGTTAAGGCCTGCATATGAATTTGTTTTTGGTTTTATGAAAATATGCATCAATTTTCAGAAACAAAGATCTTTCTTCGTCGTTTCAAAGCTGTTAACTCTTTTTAATTAAAACTTTTCAACCATCCCATTCAAAAAGCGTTCCTATTTAGTAATTACGTTTTACGTTACACACCAAAAGTTTTAGCAGCAAAACATTCTAGGAGGAAATCTAATCACACTTACGAAATCAAAAATCTAATGAGTGTGGCTCCAATATGCATTTAATTTCAGGAGGTACGTTCCACCCCAAATACTCAAATATCAAAAAAGAGCGTTAAATAGATTTTAGATTAGTAATTTGGATTGAATGCTATACTTGTTTTATTGAATATTTTTAAAAACACAGAAAGATGAAACATTTTAAATGAAAATTTATACAATTTGCAACTGAAAAAAAAATCTATTTTTATTATAACGAAATTTCTTCTTAAGAAATTGCCCCCTTAAGCGACCAATCTTTTGCTTTCTCAAATTTTTATCAACCGAAAAAAAAACGAAAAATTACTGTACTTAAAGTTTAGTGACTTCTCAATACGATTATTTCCATGAAAAACGACACGCAAAATTGCATTTAGGAAGATTTTTTCTTAAAAAAAGTTAGCTTCTTAAACTAGTACAATCAGTCTGATATGAATTTTGAGATTATATTTTGACGCTCGTTGATTTTTTTTCAACTCTCAATTTTTTGCTCTAATCAGCGATGTTTTCTAATTTTTTCCTCTATATTGTGAAATTTTCTCGAGGTAATTCATTTTAGTTTTAACCATGATTGAGTGGGTCCGAATATGAAGTATTCTGAGGCTTCTAAAAATTGAAAACCAACTGAATCTAACAAAGTTTTTAACAACTTTAGATATTAATTGACATCCTCTGTCTCAAGTAACATGTTTTTCAGCATCAGTTAGAGCCACCTTTTTTCAGTTCAAATAAATATGAGTCTTAAGTTTTCGATGTTATTTGTTGGGTCAAATTTGCCTATTATGTAGCTTTGTGTAAAAGTTTGACAAACACTTTTTGTTGATCAAAGTTTTAGGATCAAATTTTGCTCGGATAAAAAAAACAGCTGGCAAAATAATTTTTCTAAAAACATTTCTAACTATTTCCGCAACCGTTAGTTAGCAGTATTTGGCCTAATCCAACGAAGAACCAGAAGTTTTCCATAAAAAAACTACATGAAAATTCTAAAAAAAAACTGAGAGATAATTTGTTATCAAAACTTAAAACTTGAAAAAGAAGTCAAAGATGAAAGAGAAAAACTATTTGAGTCTTGAACAAATTAGTTCAAACCATTCAGCAGTTTGCTGAAAAAAAGCTTCAAAAAGACGAGGAGCGCGCACTGAAGTTTTATGGATGACAATCAATTATATTGGACTTTCATTGTCAATCTCAAAATTATTCAAATATGATCTATTATCATCGATTAAAAACGGTTTATAATCTCAATATTTTCTATTTCATGTCAGAACAATCAAAGAACACGAAAAAAAAGAACAACAAAGAGAGCGTTCTTATTGCGATATCCGTTTACAATTTAAAAAAAAAACACTGTTTGGCCTCTTAATGTTAATGCGCTCGAACTATTATGTGCTTCGTTCAGAACAACCGGCTATCTTTCATTAAATTTTTTTTTCTGATTGAAATACCTGAATTGTTTTCTAAAATCTCACTTTTTTTTGAAAGAATACACCGTTTCTTTTCCCCAGGCGGCGAGGGAGAGTTTTTGCAAATATTTTGTTTGATAAAACAAAAGTTAGTTTGAACAAATACGGCTGCGTGTTTCTGAATGGCAAGTTTCCAATTAACTATCATTTTGAGTTTTATAGGTTTCTTATTGATAAGATATCTAGTTTTCCAAGGACTATTCTATGATAGCTGTACCAGTTTCTTGTATCAAAACTTACAAACATACTTCCTGTAATTTGTCAAACAGAAAACTTAACAGGAACAATGTGTGAGAAACAAATAAAGAGAAATTTCAAACCGTACGTTGATGATACAAAGTTGATTTGTCTTCCGGTAATTCCAGTTCATTCGTGAGTGAGCGAACATATTCAACAAAAGGCTCAGGAAACGGTCCATAGCAAATCAAGTAAACACATGCTCCTCCAAATTGCCGAGAATATAGTTAGAAAGCAGTTAACTACACTGTTAGAATCAGATCGAAGTCCTGAATGCTCCGACTGCATTTTAGTTTATCTTTTTTTTTGTTCAAACTTTTTCTTATTTTTTTTTTGAAATCATCACTCTACGCTCTGTGTAAAGCGCTAAGTGATATATTTTGCATGTACCAAAATTTTGAATCGACCAAAAAGCATATCTTTTTTCAATTTGAAACAATTTTTATGACGGATTGAATCTCCGCTCACGTGTTAACAGCACGAAATAAATCGCGCATTAGTTTTCCCAAATTGACAACCTTTAAACCCCCGTAATCTTGCATAAAAATTTAATAATTGAAATATCCTTTCATTTTTGTACTCAAGTCAATATCTTTTGAATCATGATATATAAAAACTCATTCAAAAACTCCTAATTAAAAAATTCGACATTTTTGAGAAGAAGAAGAAAACCACCCCAAGTCCAAACAATCTGTCATCTTCTTCGAAATTGCTCGGAACAATTAAAATGATTCCAATTTTATTAGGGCGAACAGGGTATGACTTTTAGATTAAGGGGAGAGGAAATTTCACTTTTCCTGCTTTAATTACCCATTTTAAACCAATTAGTGCTCGGCGTTTTTCTCTTGACGAATTTCAATTTCCTAACTAGCCTTTTTTGACGCACAGTTTTTAGATTGGAAAGGTAATGGTTGTCTTGAGCTTAAATTTAAACATTTTTAAATTTGTGTTTTTTTTTGTAAAATTATGGGAGTTTAAAGATACAAATTTTGGCCATTTAGAAAAGTTAGGAATAAAAAGCGCGCGATATATTTCGGGCTAAAAACGCGCAAGCGGAGGTTTAATTGTTCTGACTTCCGAAGGAAACGGAACATTTATGCTTTGTATTGTTTTTTTATTCAGTCAATTTTCGGCGATTGAAGTTAGAGTGTTAAAAATAATAAAACCCCATCGAAGGTATTGACTGCATGAATAAAAAACTAAAAACATGTTTTACCTCCGATCGTTTTTTGCAAAGTTCTGAGAGTTTGAGACTAGCAAATTTAGTCAAACTTTGGACAGAATTATGCAAGCTTTGAAGATTTTATTCATAACGTGGAAAACGTAACGCGAATTACTTATGCGTTGCGAAATATCGCGCCCATCAAAATCGTTCCAAATTAAATTGAGGCTAGCTAATAGGTCGCGTTAATTTCGTACGACTAATATTTTTACACTATATCTCCAATATTGTCCAAAATGTATAGTTTTTGATTATTTGCTTCAACCAAAAGCTATTCGAGACCAAATGAAGGGCAGTCGGAGCTTTCAGGGCTTTGCCCTAATATACGAGCAGTCTTGTTTGTCTTAGAAATTGTTCCAATTTGAATTGAGGCATGTGATTTGGTCTATGTAATGATCTGCTAAATGCAAAAACCTCACTTTATACTCAACATAGCGGGGGATGATTTTCCGAAAAAATCTAAAAGAAACTTCATCCATTTTTGAAAGCAAACAATTTTCTATAGAATTCAAAATAAAGTCGGAACACTCAGTGCTTCGTGCTGATACGAGCAATCTTGTTTGCGTTTCGGTGGTAGTGGCAATTGTTTTGCTAATTAAACCAAAACGTGAAAACATAACAACATATCATATACTTAATCGTAATAAGTGATCACTTGATGGTCTTCGAGCTTAAAAAAAAGTAGACTTGCTGCAGACATTTGACAGTTTTTTACAGTCATGTGATTTATGTTAAGAGTCCCTCCACAACTCGAAAATACAGAAATGGCTTAATTATTGAGCTGTTTTTATATTGAGGTTCTTAATCATAAAACTCTTTAAATTTTTCTACTTTTGTAAATGAACAAATGCCAAGCCAACAGGGGCGGATTTAGGGAGGGGGGATTTAGGGGAGGGAGCGCGGGGGGGGGGGGGGGTATTTCGCCTCCCTCCTCAGGGATTCGAGCCCTGCCGACCCAAAGGGTCCCCCCTTTGTACTATTTTGAGATATCCATTTTTGATGACGGACCCTAAAATTTTTCTAAACGCGCCTTTAGCGCCAATATATACTAATTTTGAGGGGGTAACGCCTCCAAAAAGTGCCTAAAAAAGCCTTCTTTGGCCTGTTTTTTTCAAAATTTTGCTGGAAGCGCAGTAGTTTTAACCAAAACAGGGTCTTTGTACTGCTTTGGGAGAGCTCAGAAAATCAATTTGGTCGACAAAATTGTTTAGATTTTTTTTTGAAAATCCGCCCCCCCCCTCGAGAAAATCCTGGATCCGCCCCTGTCATCCCACCCTAAAATTTTTCTCAAAGAGCATTTGGCGCCTATCTATTTTAAAATTGAGGGGAGGGGGGTTAAAAAATTTTAAAAGGGGGTTAAAAGCGCATTTTTGGTATCCTGTTATTCAAAAACTGGCATGTGGCGCATAAAATATTGTCAAACATGCATCTTTATTTTGTTTTAAGAAATCTTTTTGTTAGACACAAGGGGTGGTTTTCGGGTAAGAGTCCCCCTTTGGTAATATTTTACGACATCTACTCCCATCCCCCCTCCGAGAAAATATTAAAATTCAGACAAGGTTTCCGCCCTTTTGACAACTATAAAAATGAAAAACTAAAATACTCAAATGTAATGAGCCTTTAATAAAGCTTCGATTGTCAATCATTCTTACGTTTGTCTGGTTTATTACTGTATTTAACAAATCATCAATCAAAAAATTATCTGCATTAGAAAAATATATGACCAGCCTGTACAAGCGTACCGTTGATCAAAATTTTGATTTGATTTTCTGCTTTCAAATATAAAGAAAATCGACAATGTTTCAGGTAAGTTAAGCCTGTGATTTTTTACCCTCAAAAGCAAATTTCACAGTTCTTTAGTTCTTAACCACTTTGATTTCAGGAATGCGTGCTGGTCCTGTTATCTTGTTCATTCATTGATGCTTCATCCTCCAGTAAGTTTACACCAGCTCTCATATTTTCATAATAACTATTAGAAGACTTATTAAAGCCGTTCTGTTCTGCAAAGCAAATCCAAAAACCTTCAATCAGAGCTGAATTTTTGGGAAAGTACAATTTGTAACACCCAGTTTTGACTGACCAGCCCTAAAGTAATCAGAAAGTTGCCTTTGGCATAAACAAAAAACCTCAATTTTTTTAGACATAACTTCAAAAATGCGCCCCAAGTAATGAATCTTCTTGAAATACGTTTACCCGTCAGCTTCTTCAATTTGAATAATTATCACTTGATGATTTTTTCTTGCCTCATTGTTTACTAACCATAACTTTCAAAAAGTCAATCAAAAAAGCTACCAAGTATGATTTTTGTATCATTTTTGTCTGACTTGATAGCAGATGTTATTGTTAGAAAAAGTTTTGGAAGCAACATTTGGAAGTTTAGTAAAAACCATGAAACCGATGTTTGTTGTATAATCACTGAATATTTTTGAAGAAGCTGTTTTCGAAAAATTAAGTGGATTTTTTCTGCAAAAAATTTCTACCTTGAAGTCGTTTAAATAATGATTTTGTGCTTTCTTTTTAAGTTATGAGCCTTATAGTAAGTATTAACTTATAAAGTTATGTTTTCGGACAGTTCCATAAGGTGGTTACTAAATTAAAACATAGGCGCTACGCGCAATACACCGAAGGCATAGAAACTGAAGCAAAAACCAAACAACTTGAACAACTAATAATTGAAGAAGAACAGTTCTAGAACAAAAAATCGTACTAATACATGTATACACCAAAATTTTGCTATATCGAGAAAGAGCCTGAAATAACAGTTCTAGAACTAAAAATCGTACTAACACATGTATAGGTTAAATTTTTGATATATCAACGAAGATCATAAAATAACACTTCTAGAACTAAAAATCGTACTAACACATGTATACACCAAAATTTTACTATATTGACAAAGGGCCTGAAATAACAGTTCGTGAGCTAAAAATCGTACGAACACATGTATACACCAAAATTTTGCTATATTGGCAAAGATCATGAAATAACAGTTTGAGAGCTAAAAATCGTACTAACACATGTATACACCAAAATTTTGATATATTGACAAAGATCATGAAATAACAGTTCGAGAACTAAAAATCGTAATAACACATGTATACACTAAAACTTTGATATATTGACATAGATCATAAAATAACAGTTCGAGAACTAAAAATGGTACTAACACATGTATACGCTAAAATGTTGCTATATTGACGAAGAGCCTGAAATAACAATTGTAGAGCTAAAATCGTACTAACACATGTATACACCAATATTTTGCTATATCGACAAAGAGCCTGAATAAACGTTGTAGAACTAAAAATCTTACTAACACATATATACACCAAAATTTTGCTATATTGACAAAGAGCCTGAAATTTTGACAAAAGGACCTGAAATAACAATCGTAGAACTAAATGTCGTACTTACGCATTGTAGATCAATTTCTATAGCTATAATAAAATACAAAAGATACATAAATAAATAAATAAATACATAAATGAATACATAAATAAATAAATATATAAATAAATAAAAGCAAAAGTGAAATGTACAAATAATTAAATAGACATGAAAAAATAAATATGAACAAATAACCAAATAAACAGACCCATAACATGAATAAATGAAAATAAATAAATGAAATAAATACACATACATAAATAATAAAAGCAAAACTAAATGAAAGAAAGAATAATTAAATAAATATAGAAATAAATATCAACAAATAAACAAAACACACCTGATAAATAAATAAGCAATAAAAAAAATAAATCAATACATAAATAAATAAATAAATACATAAATAAATACATAAATAAATAATTAAACAAATAAATAAAAGCAAAAGTGAAATGTACAAATAATTAAATAGACATGAAAAAATATTTATGAACAAATAACCAAACAAACAGACCCATAATATAAATAAATGAAAATAAATAAATTAAATAAATACACACGCAGAAATAATAAAAGCAAAACTAAATGAAAGAAAGAAAAATTAAATAAATAAGCAAAACACGTGATAAAAATAAACAAAAATAAATATGTACATACATAAATTATAAATAAAAATAAGCAAACTAAACATAATTAAATAAATAGAAGAACAGATAATTAAATAAATAAATAACAGTTCGAGAACTAAAAATGGTACTAACACATGTATACGCTAAAATGTTGCTATATTGACGAAGAGCCTGAAATAACAATTGTAGAGCTAAAATCGTACAAACACATGTATACACCAATATTTTGCTATATCGACAAAGAGCCTGAATAAACGTTGTAGAACTAAAAATCTTACTAACACATATATACACCAAAATTTTGCTATATTGACAAAGAGCCTGAAATTTTGACAAAAGGACCTGAAATAACAATCGTAGAACTAAATGTCGTACTTACGCATTGTAGATCAATTTCTATAGCTATAATAAAATACAAAAGATACATAAATAAATAAATAAATACATAAATGAATACATAAATAAATAAATATATAAATAAATAAAAGCAAAAGTGAAATGTACAAATAATTAAATAGACATGAAAAAATAAATATGAACAAATAACCAAATAAACAGACCCATAACATGAATAAATGAAAATAAATAAATGAAATAAATACACATACATAAATAATAAAAGCAAAACTAAATGAAAGAAAGAATAATTAAATAAATATAGAAATAAATATCAACAAATAAACAAAACACACCTGATAAATAAATAAGCAATAAAAAAAATAAATCAATACATAAATAAATAAATAAATACATAAATAAATACATAAATAAATAATTAAACAAATAAATAAAAGCAAAAGTGAAATGTACAAATAATTAAATAGACATGAAAAAATATTTATGAACAAATAACCAAACAAACAGACCCATAATATAAATAAATGAAAATAAATAAATTAAATAAATACACACGCAGAAATAATAAAAGCAAAACTAAATGAAAGAAAGAATAATTAAATAAATAAACAAAACACGTGATAAAAATAAACAAAAATAAATATGTACATACATAAATTATAAATAAAAATAAGCAAACTAAACATAATTAAATAAATAGAAGAACAGATAATTAAATAAATAAAGATGAACAAATAAAGAAGCAAACATACGCAATCACGTGACATAGCGCGATATAGTCCAGCCCACATGATAATTGATAACTGTGGACGTTATTTGTCGACACTTGACAACAGACAACATTAAAAAAAAACCCATTACACGATACCATAACACCTTGACTAAAGTCTTCGGTGTAATAAGTTTATAATTTTTTTAAATGGCTACCAATTTTACTGCCTGTAAGATTTTACTGCAGAGGCGAATATTATATTATATATTTTGATACTGGGTGAGAAATAAACCTTTAAATGCTCGAATTTAAACTTATTTGATTATTTCAAATTCTTTGTACTTGGAGTTTGCCTAACAAACGAGAAATGGAATCTTTAACAGAAAAAACTTTTAAAAAAATGGATTGTGCTTTACTGATCAAATATTTTCTTGGCGCTTTTCGTCATCAAGAAAATAACAGTCTAAAAATTGTGATTGATTGTATTAAATTGGAAATAGGTAGGTTTTTTTTGGTATTTTTGACAAAATGTCAGGATTATAATATAGGAAACCTATTTTGTAACGTAACAACAAATGACTCGTTTTAGTTTTATTCACACCTTTTAGTGGTCTTCTAGCTGTTTTTTACTGTTTAACTCTCACTCTCACCGTTTGTTCTTTTGATTATCCGTAATAAGATGTTTAAATTTTGAAACGGGCTTTTACATCTGGTAGTTTTAGACACTGTCTTCTTTAGCGTATACAAATTATGGAGCTGCCTGGCAAAAAGGAGCTTGTTTTTTTTTTTCAAATTTTGACTTTGAATTGATTGAAATTCACGAGCTGTTGTAATAGTTCTGAATGAGTGCTTTGGTATTTTTTTGTAGATGCATGCGGCAAAACACCAAATTTTAATAAAAGGTTGCGCGAAAGCTTTGTAAGTTGTTACAAGGTACGTGGCCGAGAAAATTTTTTTAAAAAATCCGCAAAACTTTGAGAAGTATTTTAACCGAGAACCTAAAGTGTTGAGTTAGGACCGATGTGGTTAACTCATAGAGTAATTTCGGATAGGGTACACCGTCTGCTCGTCACGCTATCTTATTTTCGGCCGGATAGATTCGTGCAACTTCTTAGTCTAATACCGATCCTAATCTTACTCTTATACTATCTAGTCTCAGGTTGTTTAACTAGTCTCTGCTAGGCTCAATAGATCTAGGGTATACTGGTTTATTGCGGCTGCTTAAGTTCCTTTGGAGAGGCAACTAATTTCTAAGTTAAATTCAAATCTCTCTGGTGCTGAAATTACAAGTAATTTCAGCACTTACAAATAAGTGGGTTGTTAGCTAGATGGATCATGATTGGTTAATATTAAATACTTTACAGTGGTAAAATATCTAATTTATCTAATCATAAAATGTAGTTTAGATCAGGTTCCACCCATCCGGGTTTTACAGAGTTTTTTAGAATAGTCTTTCTGCAATTCAAAGGATGGATGATGGACGTTGGTATTTGGCGAACATCATATTTCTTCTGGGTTCTCTTGTTAGAGAAGTTCCAGGTTCAATCGCTGTGTCTTCTCATGACAACGACTGGGTTTTCGCAACAAACTCAAATCTGATTTCAGAATGGTTGGCTATGACAGGTTTTTCTGTTTCATGTAGAGAACTTCTTTTGGGTTGACCTTGTCTGGGAATGGCGTGAAGATTGTGCGCGGAGGGGATGCCTGGTTTCTCGGATCTGTACGTATACTTGAACATCGAGGTGGTCATTGGTCTAGTTCAATGAAGTCCTTTTCTGCGAAGTCAAGTCGTACTCTAAATCCTTTGAGTTGTGATTGTGGGCGGCATATTGATTGTGGTTGGCCATTC